TAGAAACAACATAATATGTATATAGACATAGAATTTAGAATAATATGTATATAGACGTGGAATGTAGAAAACTTTTATTTAGAAATAAGAAATTTTAAGGAAAACAAGATTTTTTTCTAAAACAACAAGAAATGAAAATTTTGTTTCGTCCTGAGGTCGTCGATTGTTGACATCTGGCCGATTGGTGGTTTTGTCTCTGGGAAGGCCGAGTTGTGGTTTTGGGACTGCTGGCTGTTGTCTGTGTTAGCGTAAGTTTATAGCCCTATAGTGAAGGGTGTCAATAACGAACAGTCTCACCCATCATTGGATGAAATCACTAGGCTCAATCGGTGATCATACTCAAGGATCCTTCAACAACCTGAGATTGAATGGCCCCTTTTGCCACTAATTAGGACCGCTCACGTCTGAACTTTAAGGCAAATTTAATGACATTTACATATCATTAAAGTTTTACCAGTTTATGGAAAGTCTCAAATTAATCCAAACCTGATGATTCCTGAGATTGGATAAAATTCATAAAAGTTTATCTATAAATGTGCTAGGAGTTGCCTTCAACTTCAGACTTGAACCAGCCTATTGGATGGTTCTCCTCAAGAAAATTTTCATGCTTTACACCATTCCTTCTGCATTTTTTTTTTTTCATTTTTTTCCATGGAAAAGGTTCATTGATCAGTCTCAGACCTTGCAACATCTCAGCCTAGGTCAGATGCTTCAAAATCATCTGATTTCAATTTCTAAGCTTTGTCTTTGTCTTTGGTTGGCTGGCGCGATTTCACTAAATCCAATCATCCTTATAACCCACCCAATCGTGTCAATGAATGGAAAATTTACCCAAAGTTCATTCCCATCCCAATCAAAATATATATCCCACTCTAACTACTTTGATAGAAAAAAAATTGCATCTGTTCCAATCGGAATAAAACAAAGTGATGTACTGCCCTAGATTCCCTGCTGATAAGGCTGATAATTGGACAGGTTTGTGTGGTCCACAGGCTATCATTCCCATCCCAAACTGCTTTAGTTCTGGTCCATCCCAAACCCATGTCTACAATCAGGCAGACATGGTCTGGCCACAGGCAGCCCCACAGGCTCCAAAACATGCTGGAAAAGTGGGATACCTGTGGGCAGCCCATGGGCAACATGTGCCATGCTGTAAAAGGACTTGGACCTTGGTCCCTCCAAAGGTTGCAAGTAGATAAGTCGGCCACTGGTGTAATTTAGAATCGGGACCAGGACTGTGCAATGCTCTTGCAGTGGAAGTCTGCTAGGGGATGTTATTTGTCCATGGCACTTCACAGGTTGCATTTTCTCAGCCAATGGGCACCCAACAGGCAGCCCATGCCTACCCACACCGTTTAGCACCAGTGACAGGCTGGAAAAAGTGTGGAAATTTCAGGAAGATCAAGTCTGTGCCCAAAAACAGCCAGAATTCCAGCCCAATCATCACCTGTAGGTCTTCCATCACAATTCCAAACACCAAAGTTATAGATAAGCATGATTGCTCTCATTACTTTTTCAATGGTAGGATTGAATGAGTCCCATGAACAATAGTTTTGATGGGTGTTTTTATTGGCTATGTATGCTGAGGAACCATGAAAGAAACTATTTAGTGTGTGAGAAAAGAGAATAGCATACATATTCCCTTTCTTTCTAATTGATGCATAGAGAAACAAATCATAAGTTTTCTTGTTGATACTTATAGGCCCCATTTTCACTCAAAGGCACAATTCACGTATGATCCAGTTTCAAAACAATTCTGGAGTCTTGATAAAAAATAATTCTATCTTCCAACAGTTCCTATCAACAAATAATTATACTTTCTGCAATCATAAAAGATAATTTTCATTGGGAGATATGCTTGTATTCATATTTTTAGATAGCTATGTATCTGGTGGCTCATTGTGAACAAGATATACATTTAGATCTAACTTTTAATTGATTTTTAACAGATAAACTTGAAAGGATAATAGTCACATTTATTGATACTCCTCTTTCATCTTGATAATTTAAACTTGATGGATACGTAGGTTTTTTCTTGAAGATTTTTGGTATTATTGCCAATTTCTTTTTCGTTTCCAGATGAGTTCTTTTTCTCCTTAGCTTGAGAAGCTTCCCCTTCTTTTCTGTGGTGTTTATCCCATTCAACATTGGAGAAAGGTCAAAAAAATGGGATAAATGCCATGTGAGATCAAGAGTATCAATTATCAATCCCTATTTGTTTATCATCCAATGTCAAACAGAATCAAAGCATAAACTCAACTTGGATTCTTCTCTAATATTTCTCCAGGATTCTATTGTTTTATGAGTCTCCAAATCATCATCCATTGTGGCAATCATTTCAAACATTGATATTTGAATGAGAATCAAGGAAGCAATAAAAATGAAGAATCTGTTCAAAGATTTTGAACTCATTCTATGATTTTTGTTTATCAACTGGTGCAAGGTATAATGGTGATGAGTGACACTTTGTGAAAGTAGGTATGATGGGATAAAAACCTTTGTGGAGACAAAGTTGAAAAGTGGAAGCGAGAATTTTTTATTTTTATTTTTTCTGAAACCTGAGAATGATTGGGGACTGGGGGGAAGATAAGAATTTGCAATTTAATAAGTGGTTTTGGTTCAAAAAAAAAGAGAAATATTCCACATTCAATGATAAAAGTTACAGCAAAGATTGTTTGAGTGCAGATATATGATCATTGAGTCAAATACATCTTACATGTTTTTATTGTTTGATAACAATACAGATTGATTGCAAATTCAGGGGCATGTCATTAACACCAGTAATATGTGGTATATGTTTGACTTGAACAAGTATCTACCTCCTTGTATAGAGTTGTGAGATACTCTAATAATTGTTGGGTGGGGCTTATGTGCCAAGTCAACCATGTGTCCTTGAAGAATTGTGGAATTTGAAACAGGTTTTTTTTGAAAAACAAACCAAACATAAGTAAAGTACCACAAAAAGTGTTGCTTATGTCTCCACTGTTTCTTCTTATCTTCAATCCCTCACCTTAAGTTTCAATAAATCCATTTATAAGTGTGAAACTATATGGGACATGAGCCAGGTGAGTATGAACAAGATACACTTGAACAGATATAGTGAAATCAGTCTACAGTTGAGGTCATCACATGAAAAAAATGGTTGTTGCTGAAAGCCACCTGAAATCAAGTTTCAGTTGATTGTAAATTGTGATACTGTGTAATCTGAAAATCTAGTCTGTACTGTTATAAAAATTGGGTCCAGGTTCTCAAAGCTGTTGTTCCAGAAATTTTTGCTCAATCAATGAGAAATCAGATTGGTAAAAAAATTGCCAGTGTTTGCTGATACTCTAGACATGCCTATAACTTCTAAATGGAGGGAAATCATAGTCTTACTAATCTTTCATTTGGGACAAGATAGCTGTGCTATTTACCTGATGTATGAGCTGGGTGAACTGAGCAAAAAAAAAAAAAACGATTTTTTCCCTTTTCTTTTTCAAAAATCTGACCTAACCACTTAATCAACTCTATACTTGCAAACTCCTGCCCCCTAACCCCACAGGGGGCTGGGACCATCTAAAATTAACTAGACCCATGGCCACAAATATGGTTTTCTTTTTGAATCACAAATGAAAAACACTCAGCTATGATAACTGATACCATAGACACCTCAGTTTTGATTCCAAATGCAGGATCATCTGAAAAATGAAATATGCAGTGACTGCAGGTACTGACAAGGTTACACCTAACTGAATGGTCATAGTGACACTGCAGTAAAAAAAAATGTCCAAATTGTGAGTCAGGTGGAAAGTGGGATGGGTTTGGGCCCACAAATTCTGTCCAAACCTGCCCCAACTATTTGATGGGGCAACCAGCTTGGGTCAACAAATACAATCTCTTACCCATCCCAGACCAGTAAATCAGGCCTCTGACTTGGGTTGGGGTTAGCCCATGGGCCATTGTGAAATTTTGAGCCATATCCTGTGCCAGACTGTTGCCAGCTGGTCTGATGGTCAATTCATCTATCTGAAGTCTGTCCAGGCCCAACCCACCTCCGTTCTAGGGTGGGCAGGTTGAGTCAATTTTATCTCATGAGGTGGCTGAACCCACCACAAACCCAAGGCAGGTTGAGGCCACCCACTATCCACCTAAAGTGTGAGTCTCTGATGCCAATTTAATTTTTTTTTATGCGTGAGACTGCTCAGTGCAGCTCACCCAGCTCTACCTGTAAATCACACTTTACAAAATTGGGTGTAAAAAGTAGTTCCCAATAATTAACAATTTTGAATTTCTCTTACAAAGTGTGTTGGTTGAGATGATTTGTACCTAGAGTAGAACTTAAGAAAGGCTGTGCTTTTTATGTTCATTCAACTAGATCTTGTTTTCAGTATAGTTCAATGTAATAGAAGAACTGCCATCAATCAGGAAGAATTGGATTAAAATTTCTGATACCAGAAAGCCAAGTGTATTTGGTGACAAAGAATGCTAGAATTAGGGTTCTTGAAGCTTACCACAAAAAGATTCTAACCCACTTGACAAGGAGAAATTTTCCTTGAATGACAGTTAATGATGGTAAATAAGGAAGATCATTGCCTGCCCATTAGGTACAGACTGAACCCTTTAATGGTCTTTGGGTAGTATTGGAGCAGAAACAACTAGGACCCAGAAGTGACCTCACAAATATCTAACCCTGAAGCCTGCTTATGTATTGAAATACTCTATGTGCACCAAGGGTTTATAGACTATGAGGTTAGGACTCCTAACCTCATAGTCTATAAACCTTTATTTTTGCACCACTCCCAACTTAGGAGTGGTGTCAAGCCTCTACATCTCAAGATAGAATGCCTTCAGGGATGAGATAAAGCTTGACCTCAATTTCAAGCCAATAGGAGCAGATACAACAACAGAGTAATTATGTATCCAGTTCAGGTAGAGTTGTTTTCTGAGGTGAACATAGATCAGATAGAATCAAACTGTTGTAGAAATAAAACTGTCTCCCAAATTATGCAAAAGTGAATTCTTTATCCCTGGATGTAAACATTTCCGATGATTTCAAAAGCTATGGGGGTGACTGAAAACACGAGAAGGATCCCAAACTGTTTTTAGGCTCTTCAGAACTGCGGTATTCTTCTCACCAAAGTATTCTCGATGGGCTCTGTCAGCTGAAAACTCCGAACTGGAAAATGCACAGATGAGATTCGAGGAAGAAGGATAAGTTGTAGATCAGAAAGCGGCATTTCAATATGTGGCAAACTTTTGCTTACTCAACATAACAACTGAACCCGGTCAGTTCTTTTCGACTACCTCCAAGAGAGTCATAAACTTGGTCCGACGTGGCTCTCGTCAAATCCATTAGATGTCCTTGATCTAATCGTGCACCCTTGGGACCATAACCCCCCATTTGAAAGAGTAGCAGTGCGTCTCGAGGTCCGAAAGAGGTGGTGTTACTCCCTGAGCCTCTTACACCTGTTGGCTGTCCTTGATAGCGCCCACCAACCAAATCAATTTCTAAAAACCAGTCCAATCGTTCTGATGCTTTAATCCCCGACGCAATTCCGTACAGTTTCTTCATGAAGCTCGTCCATAGAGAGTAGCTCATGGGATTAATATCTCTAACGATGAACGATTTCGCGTAGTAACTTGCATTCTTGGTGGACGAGGATGGAGGTGATACAAATGAAATCAAAACCGGTAATCAACTGGACTGCACTATGTGTTCTATCAAAATGATTATAAAGAGACGAGGAGGATACCTCACCCGGCTTGATGAAGAATAAACAGAAAATGTATCATAAGAGATAGGAGAATTCACGTACATCGTTACTGGGGTTGATCCCCTCCGAGCTCAGCGCGTCAGAACCACCCAGAGCGCGAACACTCTCCAACCAATCAAACCGCTCGACCCTCACAACTTGACCTTTCACGCTGAAACCACTGGTGAGTCTACCTATAGTCCTGTTGAACCGCGCCATATGACCCAAAAAACTTCCTTGGAGCCTCCAATTAAGGTCGATTTTCTTTGAACTGTTCGCGTTATGGTTGAGCTTGACTGACCAACGTATGCCCAATTGAGATGGGGCAGACTTCAGACCCCAACTTTGGAAATGAGAAAGAGTGGCAGCTGCTGAGTCTGGATTAGGGAAAACATAATCAATCTCGAATAGGATCACATTGCTGGGTGCCTCATGGGTTCTGAGGGTCAACGAAGTAATAATTCCAAACGAGGGTCCTGCTCCTCGCATTGCCTGTTTCAAAAAAAAAGTGCAGATCCCAATCCATGTTCAAAAGGCAATATCTTGGAATGTCTGGGTGGAAAATTCTCACAAAGAATAACTCTGGGTTTGTCTTGTCAGACACTTTCAGAATCGTTCCATTCGCGGAGACCACTTCCAATTCGACGATGTGATCAGAAAACAGTCCCCACATCCTAGAGGCGGTTCCAAATCCTCCACATGTAGCATGTCCCGATACTCCTTTAAGCATAAATGGAACATAAAAACATCAGATGATTCAAAAATTATCGCAGGCGCCTGATAAGAAAGAATAAACTCCCTACCAATATACGGGGATACGCCGTGGGGTACCGCCCGCTCATGCTCTTGGAGTGCCATATCTAAGTCCCCCAAACGTAATCCGGCGCCGAATGTTACCATTTCGCCTACTTCTCCCACATGGTTTGTTGCGAATGAAAAGTCTTTAAGATTGGTGACGTCGATTATCAAGCCGTGTGGAGATGAACTAAAGCTAGCATATGAATGACCGCCGTTTCGAGCAACCACAGGTACCTTATATTCTGACGCGCACTTGATGGCTTCCGACACATGGCTTGCGCTTGAAACATAGACAATGGCCGATGAATTATGTTGGATAGCAAGGTTGTAGGTGAGGGTGGAGAGAGGATAGGAAGGATCCCCAGGAAACACAATCCTCGAAGAAATATGATCTGATGCGCCAATCTCGGTACGAAGACAATCTTGAAACGAGGAATGTCTTTTCGCAGTGGTGTGCCCTCGTTCAGCAATAGAGCAAGAATCCAACAGAGTAGTAGACCTGGTAGCACTGAGGCTACCAGCCAGATACCCAAAGAATGACAGGATATTTAAATAAATCATCGTCTGGATTCTCGCTCAAGAAGAGTTTTTTTTCCAACTATTATGAATACTAAATATTTTTCCTTCAGGCCTTGAGGAGATTATATCGTATTTGATTGCTCGATCAACTTGTCGCCAATTGCAAAAGACGGAAGCAATTTTTTAGTCAACATCTAAAGAACCTATTAACATTGATCACATTCTCACAAGAATGCCGAGCTTAACAAAGACTCGGACGGTTCCTTTTTTGGGTGCAACGGCCGTGATCAGGGTGGCTTCAGTCTGGAAGCCAACTTCCATAAGACGCTTAACATTTTTTAAAGATGTATGCAGTCATCGTCCAACAAAATACGAACTTTTCATAGAATAACATTTGATGGTGGATTGCGACCGAAACAACCTTTGCGTGCCTTGAGTTAATGATTGCGAGGTGACTTCAGACGTCAAGATTCTCCGACCCCATCTGAGATCATCAACGCTAGTTTCGGGACTACACAGCGAAATTTTATAGCAACTTTGCACAAGGAGAGCCGAAGGGTGGCATCTTTTTTTTTTTTTTTTTTTTTTTTTTAAAGTGCAGAGTTGATTTGACATTGCGCACTAAAAGGGTGGCATCATGATCAGACCTTGGTCGAATCAGCGTATAGCCAGACAGAAAGTTTAAAAATCACCAACAACCTCCAAGCGTGTAGATTAGGCGGCCCCCAGCTCACATACGACCTTATTCTTTGCTTGCACAGGTATGTAAGCAAAGAAATATTGAACCCATAGTTTGAGAAACAGCTGAAGGCGCATTTCTCAAATCAGAGTCAAACATACTATGCGGAAATTCATGAACCGGATCGGACGACAAACTGAGAGGGGCTATTGTTCTTCAGGTCCATGGAATCCGGCTTGGCCAGTGGCAGTAGCTTAACGAAAACAAAATTTCTGGGTTGAAAGATCAAGTCCTCCTCTATAGAGTGGATTTCGATTTTTTTTGTCAGATTTCTAGCCTCATTTATACCAGCAATATCTATTGGCCAGAACCAGAAACATTTCAAAAGCAAGATGTTGAGAGTTGGGCATTTCTCCAATGATGAAAAACCCAAAATAATACTTGCTGCCCCATTTTTCCAAGTGTACCAGCTCACAAGGGAAGATCGTGAATCAGTTATCCAATTCATTTTCACCTTCAGACAACTGGAAATTTTTTAACTAGGATTTTTCCCCTTGAGTTGCACATTATCCTTTCTTTTAAGGATCTGGGGGATCCAGTGTGTAAAAGGGGACTCAATTTGCACTATCACACTCTGGCTATTCAAACTTCAAAAAGATGGTGATGAGGTTAGACTGTTGACCTCTTTTCAAACGGACTAAGTTTGCACCATTTTCATTCCAAAAATGGGATCTTGTGTTGTTCTTAGGGCCTGAATGGTATGTCATGAAAATCCAATTTCTCAAAATTTGTCTTGCTCAAAATTTCATATCATCAAAATTGACCCTAGCTAATTCACTACAAAAAAAAAAAACTTGAGAAACTACTTACAGTTGATATCCCAAGATTTTTCCAAGACTTGTGCTTCAATTGAAATGTTACTTGACAATTACAGGAGTCAAACTTGAGTGCACATGCAAAAAAGTTGATACCAGAGTATCCTGCATGTCAACTGCTGCCAGTTACCCAAACTTTTCTTGAAGTCTAAAAGCTAGTACTTGGCCTGAATGTGAAGAATTTCAACACCAGATCTCTCCAATTGTTCCCAATTGTTGTGTAGAAGATTGAAAAAAATGCCCATTTTTCAATATTGAACCCTACAGTAGAGCCTTAATCCTGGCTGCCTATTTCAATGGTTACTTACAGAGTGAGACACACCTCCATCAATATCCTCAAAGTGTCAAGCCCATGTGAGGGAATCAAAATTGGTTTGATCCAACAATACTTGATTTTAGCCTCCTCAATCAAAATATTGGCTCCAATCAATTAAAACAAAATTCAGTTGAGGATCTGATGAGAATTATCACTAGGGCCAAAGGTTGCAAGTGAAAACAAGAGAAAAAAAAAGACTCAAAGAAATGCTCAGAGTTTGGAAAAGCAAATTTTCAAGCAGCTCTGTTTGAGGAACATCACAAGTTCCTCAGGATAGACCTGTGTCTTCTTGCTTGTGAGGTGAAAATGTGGATTCACTACAAGCAACAGTGCAACCAATAATTTAC